TTAACATTGCACTTAAATGTTTTCATAAATGGTCTCATGTATTTTAAGAAAATTAAAATGTTTTCATAAATGATCTTATGTATTATAAGTGTCATCCATTTCACATCCACCATTGATGATTCTTAGCAGTATTGGGACGAATTAGCTTACTTTAATATATTTCTTGGCGTATTTGGTACACTTTAAGAGCCAGAGCCTCAAGCCGCTTACAATGTACTCCAGTTCTTAATGCCTCAGTAAATCTACGCTTTTCCTTTTCCTCAAAATTATTGGAAAGGAAAATAATTTATTTCATGTTCTTATAATTTTCTGTAATCTATTTAAAGTTAAGGCGACGAACTTAGAAACCATTCTATATTATGTTTTATAAAATTTCAGATGCTATAAACATTTGGTCATGAATATGTAGTGGAAATGTACGGAATTTTAATCTACAGAATTTTTAAAATCAGTAGCAGGAGAGAAAACACTAAATTTAGATAAATTAAACCGATATTGTAAGAATTTATATGGTAATATTATGATAGGGTTCATGACACTTAGACGACAGCTGTTGGCCAACAGGAAATTTAGCTCACACATACATTTAATCAACACGACATTTAGTCGACACAGCTATTTAGGCGACAGCTGGTTTAACCGAAATTTCGAGTTTTTTAATATGTAAAATTTCGAGAAAACTCTTTTCTCATCTATCAGTAAAATTTGTTGTTCAGCTCTTAAAGAGCCCATTTTTCCGATTTTAATTTTTATGGAATTTAAGATATATATGCCAGACTTAAAGACGTTGCAATTTCTTGTCAGAGAACATGAATCATATGTTCGGAAAGCAGAAATAAACTAATTTTTTTATAGTAATCTCTGCTGGGCATTTTAATCCAGGTTTTGCTTTCGGATCTTCAAAATCTAATCATAAACCTTCTTCAGTTTATAAATTGGATTTCTTCGAACTCTTTCACGTTACCAGAATTTTTCTTCTTTAATTAATAGAAGTAGTCATCCGGTCTAGCTCTTTCCACCGTTTCAAAGTTCTAACATATTAGCCCTTTCACGTTTCATTGCTATTTTCCTCGACAGATCATGTTGCATTCTCTTTCGCATTGATCCATGCATTACTTCCCATATTAAATAGCTTCGCTCCTCCAACTGCCGAAATTTTCTTTCTCCTGTCCTGAAATAATGGGACCTGTATCTGATGGCTCTCAAAATTAACTTCAAAATCTACTCTAACATAAGGCTTCTTTTTAGTCTAATTTTAAAATCTGTACTCTATTATTGTTGTTGTGTCCATGAATTTCATGGAAGAATTGTTTCCAGAGCCTCAAGGAGATTAGACTTCTATTTCTACCCGCATTTTGAGGAAGAGCACCCTGAGAGATGGACCGATGGTCTCCCACCCTTCTTCCCTAGCACCAATCCACACGAGAGGACATTCGATTTCCATTTCTTTAAACAGCCCCTATGCCGCAAAGACACTATACATTTCCCCATAACCACTATATCGTCTGAGCGGCAATCTGTACTCTGTATATCAATAAATAAAGATAAAAATGAGGCACGTGTCCATAAAACTTCTTGTAGTGTACTCTGGAAGTCTTTTGTTTGAAAAATCTAAATAAAATTTTTAAAATACTGCCTAATGTTTTTGTCTTATTGTACGCGTTACCAGCTAAACTGGTTGTTGGGTACCCTTGTTGTAGAGACATTAGGTATTTTTTTGGAAGCAGGAGACGTGAAAAATGAGCACCGCCTTCGCCGGGAATCGAACCACGGATCTCTGAAATATACGCCCAGCGTGCAGACCACCACACTACGAAGGCACGCTAAGAAGGCGGGAGAAATATCTTATATAATTCCCCTTTTAAAGGGCGACTGGAGGTTTTAGGGGACCCAATCGCCAAATCCTGGGTGTGGTGAATCATCACCCCCCACACCTTTTAGTTCTTTTAATGATTTATTTGTTTTACATAAACGCCTTTCTTTACAACTAAAAGTGAATGAGTATTTACTTCTTCATCTGAAATCATACTAAATAAGCAAATGAAGGAGGAGTATAAAAGGCAAAGAAAAAATAAATCTGACAGCTTTCAGATTTTATATTACGCCCAAATGGGCAATTTTTTTTTTTTTTTTTTCATTTGCAGACACATACACGTTTCAAGAGCACTTGGACTTACCTCACATGGAGTTAAAAGTATTTAAGCAAAGCATATAATTAGAATTTCCGATAGAGAGTCTTGCGCGGTGGAGATAAAAAAAAGTTTTTCTCCGTACAAGTGTTGTCACTGCTCGCTTTGAAATCATTGATTTTTTTAATCAAAAATTCTTTAAAGTTTTGCAAAATATGAAATAGGAAATAAAACAAATTCCAAATTCGGGCTTCCAGTGCCCATGTTCTGGTGGAGGACCCGAAGTTAATTATTTATTCAAAGTTTGCTGACTCTAGGTACCGTTGTTTTTTCGCAATGCGAGGAACTTACATATATCATTATTTAGTTCCTTTAAATATAATACAGGGCGATAATAGTTGGTGGCAACAATTTGAAAAGGAACTCTGACATTTTAAGTGATTCGACGCAAAGTGCTGTTTTCAGACTAATAGCCATGCTGGTATAATGCTCATTAGGGCTAATGACCAAACTGTTCTATACGAGATACAAAGAATGTGAGGTTTGAAACATGTTACAAACTTAGCAGTGAATTCCTTGAAAAAATGAATACTGATACATGCATTCCATATAAACACTTTAAACGTATTCCTGTAAAGTCCACTGACGTTTCACCTGCGGACTATTGGGCTTTTAGTCTTTTGTTAAACGCTCTAAGTGCAAACCCACAAGGTCTGATAGATTCTAGAAGAGAAACTAAAATAAGTATTCTCAGAAAATTTTATGAAAAGCCTTTCTGTCATCGACGGACACAATGCAGGCTTATAATCCAGAAAAAAAGGCTATCAGATCAAGCATTTGAAGAAATGCGCATAAATTTTAAACTTTAATGAAATGGCCCCAAAATCGTTCTAAAAAATGTATAAACACCTTCTATATTCTAATCTCCTTTGTTTGATGAAGTCCAATGGAGTTTCAACATAAGCCATTGCTGTTTCGAGACTAATGCAATTGCCAGTATCTTTTTTGCTTGTATTTTCAGCATCACTCTCTGCCTGTCCTGTTCTTGGGACATTCGAAACGATATCCACATCACTCAGACATTGAAAGCTCAGCTCAGTCGAATCACCATCAAACTCTATTCCTAAATAATTTCCCGATCAGCATTTTCAAAAGACTGTTACATTTTCAATTTTTGGCACTCAAATTCAGTTATTGCGTCGACCTTTTCACAATTAGGTTGTAGAGAAATGAGATTATTTTTGATAAACCAGGAGACGTGAAAAATGTACAATGTCCTCTCTGAGACTCGAAACACGGGCCTCTCGAATATCTGCCGAGCGTGCTGTTCATTGCACCACGAAAACATGCTAAGAAGGCGAGAGACATAGCTTACATACTCCCCATTTAAAGGGCGCCTGGATAGTACGGGACACAACCGACCAAATCCTGGTTGTGGAGAATCATCATCTACCACCTTTTTTAGTTCGCGCGCCACTGTAGTGATATTAGATTATTTTTAAGCAGAAAAGAGGATAAATGAGCAATGCCCTCGCTGGGACTCGGACCACGGACCTCTCGGATACCCGTCGAGCATGCTAAGAAGGCGAGAGAAATACTTTACATGCTCTACTTTTTAAAAGTCGGCAGGGAATTAGGGGACTCAATTGCCAAACCCATGTTGTGGAGAATCATAATCCACCATCTCTTTTAGCTCGCGCATGATAAATGAGCAATGCTGCCGCTGGGACTCGAACCACGGACCTCTCGAATACACGCCGAGCGTGCTGACCACTACACCACGAAGGCATGCTAAGAAGACGGGAGAAATACCTTATAAGGTAAGTCTCTGATTATATAGCAGGAAGAATCTTCCTGTATGTTGGCACTAATGTTCTTGATTTTACTTTTGTCCAATCTTTTCTTACTCCATATATGGCATCCAATACAGCCAACTTTTTTCAAAATTTTATCAAATCGTCATCTTTTTCAGCAAGTTGTTAGAAGAAGCCTAAAGATAAAGACTAACCTAAAGCCGTTTAAACTAAATGTAAAACTGCAGTTCGGCGGTTTTCTCTTCCATGCTCGGAATAATCCGCAAAACCGGATAATCAACACACGGATAATCGAAAGTACGCTGTAATAAGAAATGTTATTACATCTATATAGCTACTAATGACAGACTAATAAAATTCGAAATGTAAATTCATGATTTTAATTCTGAGAACTAATTATTCTTTAATAGAATGGAAAATAAAATAACTACCTTATGTTCTTCACACTCTTAATACCCGCCAGTGCAGTTCATAATAACGTAACGTGACATAACCTAGGAGTCTCAAAAGTTCAGTAAGCGGAGTTGAAACTTCTAACGTGATATCAGAGCAGAAATTTGATGGATGATTTAAATTGGTTTGATTACTTAATTATGCCAAAGCATGTGAGGGCTATCTGCCTATTGGAAGGGATGCCTTAGGGGAGGGCTGTCTAAGGAAAACTGGCTCGTATACGTGTTACACATGGGGAAAACTACGAAAATATCGTTTAGTATCAACCAGTTCGGAACTACCACTAGTGTTCAGCGACATTACCGCTCGGCTGCTGGTGTGCCCTGCAAGAAGTTGATGAATCATCATCATCATTTTCGTTGTCAGAATTAAGAGTGCAAAGTAGACAAATTAGATAATTCATTACCGTTTTTTACAATACTTATTATATGAAAGTTTCTATGAACCACGTAAAATCAAGTGTAGAAGAAGTGCAGAATAGTTTTTATCAACTACTAATAAGCGACCTATTCTTTATCACCTTTCCCACTTCGTTGGAGCTGATTACGTTAAATATTCAGATATTTTCTTTTGATAACATTCACTTTGATAGCACGTTACGTTACGTTCGTTCGATACATTACGTTCGATGTAAAAACAGCTGAATTCATACATTGGTAGTGGGGGCAGTGCTCGCAAAAAATGGCGAGGGTAACTTTTGGATTACTTAGCGTCATCTGTGTCGTTGCATTCTCAGGTAAATTTCAGTGTTTTTTTTTAATTCGATAATTTGTTCTTCTAAATTGTTTCTTATAACTCACAGAATAATGCTACGAAAAAATTAAGACTTTGCATCTTAAAAATAACTTTGCATAGTTTTTATCATATCAGTTATCTGTTGATCAAGATATTTTTAGTTTCGTAAACATTCTAGATTCTGTTAATAGCTATGTTTCGGGTTGTAAACATATCAAAGACGTTTTTAAATTCTATGCAGTATAATTTTATTAGATATTTAAAAGTTCATAAAAGGAAAAAGAAAAACCCATATGCAAAATATTTAAACATTTTCCAAATTATTATTTAATACCTTTTGTTAACAACAAAATTTGTACAGAGATTAAGTCATTACTGAACATTTTCTGTTTAATCATGAAATAATTATTATTATGCAAAAATGGTACTTAAATGTAATTTTCTTTAAATGTCGGGGAAACGTTGAACTAGTACTAAAGGCAAGAGCTAAGCTTGTAGCTTAGCTTAGCTCTCGTTTTTATTTTTTGAAACTGGCATAAAAATATACTAAAACGAACTGTAACAAAAATCGTCAGCAGGCGATGAACAAATGATTATTCTTCAACTATGCTACATAATATATGACGTTAGAAATATATTTCATTAATTTATTAATGATGCGAATATTTGTGAAAATAATCAACAATATATTATACAATATACATTTTTTGCATAGATTATATCAGTTAAAAGCATAGCCAATAACTCAAGCGAAAACATAAATTATTAGCCCAGAACGGCTATTAGTTTCGTTTTGGAATTTTGCGTTGGTTCACTATTCTGAATTGCAATTGGTCTGAATCACTTTTCAAATTGTTGCTACCAAATATTAGAGCCCTGAGTTATATTTAAAGAAATTAAATAATGAAGAAATTGCATGAATGTATTCATGTTTCTCGTTTTGTAAAAAAAACTACGGTGCCTAAAGATATCGAATTTTGAAAAACTTTTTAATATTTTGTAAAACGTATTTTTGATTAACAAACAACGATTTCAAAGAGTTCCATTAATATCGCGTGCATCTTTAAGCACGGAAATTTTATGCGGGAGGTTTCTTTACATACCTTTATTTTTATTATGTTGGTAGCGTAGCAACGCAGAAACGTTACAGTGTCTGATGGTATTTTGCGTCGAATGGCTTTGAATATCTGTATCTGCTTTCAAATCCGTTTTGAAACCCCCATCAAGAAAACGCCCCTTTGGGTGTAATATAATATCTGAAAGCTTTCACATTTTGTTTTGTTTCATAATTTTTATTAAATTTTTCAAGTTTGAAAGTCAAAGTTCCTCTAAAAGAGCAGAATTGCAACATCTCTAAGAATTGGCAATTGGTATTTTACTAGGCCACATTGCAATATAATGTAAGATAATCCGCCGTAAAGCAAAATGTGAAAAGATTAGACCATACACCTTTTTAACATGAAAACAATCATGCAATTGCAGTTAAACAAAAGGCATAATTATACAATACTAGTTCAAATAAAAATCAATTTTTTATTTTTTCCCAAATTCTAAAATACATAACGATTAATATCAAAATAACAATAAAAAATAAATATGATTTAAGAGAAGTAATGCCGTGTAAAGTTTTAATTTAGTTAAACATACTCTTAAATTCTGTTCTCGGTGCATTTTGAAGTAACCTGAGATAATTCTCTCCTTTTTAATAAAAATCTGATGTATACACCACATGACTTCCTTGTAAGGAATATTAAATTATACGCATTTTTTCTTGCATTTCATTTACACTTATTGGACTGAATTAAACCTACTTCGCCGACATCGCATAAACCACAATAGAATAAATGCATTCTTTAAAATTTACTTTGTTTACCATAGCAACACTCTGACGCTAGGTTCACTTAACAGTATTATATTTCGTTCATATTATAACTCATAATGCACAAAATTTATATCATTTAAAGAATAGAATTATCTAATTGTTGCCACATGTTCTATTCAAATACTATAATAAAGCTAGAACGATGTATAAAAGAAATTAAGTAAACAAATCAAAAAAGAAACAGTTTTTCACAGGCGATTGAGTATTTCTCATTAAATTAACTCAGTCCTCACTTCGTGAGAAGGCAAAAATACATAAAACTCAAAATATCTATATTAAAAATTACGAAATATATCTGAAACACTTATTTCCTCTAAAAATTCCAGAAAGGATTAAGCATGATTTAATTGGCAATAATGAATGAAGGCTTTATTTTTGTTGTTGCGAAGCTAAGTTTCTCTAGATTGGCAACAAATCCACTAGTCTGCTGTTTCAAATGTAAACAATCAATGGTCGCCATAAAAAAGAAAGGCTTAGCGGTATTTAAACAACTTTAGAATTGTTGATAATTCTAAAAATATTCCATACAGATTTATTAAAGGCATAAAAACCTTAACCGAAAGATAAAAACAACATAATTCAATCATTTTTAAAGCAGAAAATGTACAATTTACAAACATATAAGAATAAAGAAACTGAGATCACTGAGCCGGGTAATAGAGTGGATATATATATATAAATATTTTTATATACGTTTGGTGCGGCCGATTGCAACCAAAATACGAGGTGCACATCTACATGTTATAGCAGTCCTATATACAAAATTTCAACGTTCTGAGGCTACTCGTTTTTGAGTTATGCGAGATACGTACGCACGTACGTACGTTCGTACAGACGCCACGAAAAATTCTCTTCAGAATTCATTTTAAAGCAATTTTATAACTTTTTTGGAGGAAAAGAGTCTTTTATTCTGTCCTTACGTACAGATATCACGCAGAAACATCGTTAAATTGCATTCGATAGCGGTCAAAATGAATATTTTCGTTGAAATATGCTGCCTGAAACTTTTCGCATTTACAATACTTCCTTTTTACTTTGTAAAAAGTAAAAATCGGAAGTTCTCAGCTTCATTTAGCAGTACTTTATATAGAGAATTTAATAATGTTCTCTTAGCTTCAGTCTTATTTTCTGAATTACTTTTGGGTGTAATTTTTAAAACAGTTTCGTTTCTCTTTGTTGTTTGTTTACCCTAGAAACAAAAAAATTATGTAGTTTGATTTTCTTTTTAATTTTGATGCTACAAAATCCATTACCGAATCATCCCATTTTCCACGTCACATTGCAGTATATTATATTACCCCAGCATTAACTCAATAGCTCACACAGGAAAATTTGTATTTCTTTGAACTTTTACCACCCCTTGTGACGATCTTGAATTCGCTTTTCCTCGCAATATCTTTCTGACGTTACTGGAATATAAGTTACCAAATCTATCTTTCAAATTATATTACATGTGTATTGCAGGTCAAGGGACTTATTTAGAATACACGCATATCCTAAACATTAGCATTTATTAACTCTAATTCTTGATAATAATATTTATAAACATCTACGTCTTTAATATAATCCATAAAAGATGTTTTTGTTACCACTTGTTTCGTACTTGAGTACAGGGTGTTAGTTCTTGTTACTTTATCCTCTTCGAAATAAAACTAATTTTGAGGAGTTAAAATCCAGAAATTTATTTGCTAACATCATAAGTATTGTTTTACAACTTGCAGGAATCTCTTGTAGCTGTATAGCTAATTACATTAGATATTATTGATATGATAGCTAAAATATTATCATATTTTAAACTAAAGCTAAAACCTGGAATGCTGAAAATGGAAAAACTAGAAACTTTCTAAAACCTGGAATACTGAAATAAAAAAAATGGAATTCGTGAATTAGAGATAAACAAACACACGAGAGGATTAGGAATGCCTGCCTTCGAGGAAGAAATTCTAGGAGAAATTTTTATTTAAGCTTCACATTTTATGAGAAAAACTAATTGTCACGTCAATAGTTATTCAGAACCAGAAGGAGAAAAACTCCAAAGAATGAATTTTGTTCAGATTACTTTTCAAATGCAGATATAAACATGGAAACAAAACATTTATTCTATTAAGTTTCGTTTTCCTCTACGGTAAGTAAATGGATGTTTTAATTATAAAATAGAAAACTATACAATTTCATTTAATAAATTCATTTAATAAAATGAAGTTATTAAGCCCATAAATTTTATTTTATTAGTTTAATGGTAAATAAAATTAAAAATATATGTAACGGATGGCCATAATTAAACTGACAGTGCTCACAGTGTTCTGTAGCGCGATCTATTTGTGAGAATGACGCCACATTTTGTAGGAAGATTAAACAAGACGGGGGGGGCGAAGGATTCCGCGAAAAAAAATTAGTTCCAAAAGTCACCGCTAGGGGAATATTTGGAGCTGTGTAATACAAAATAGAGTGCTAACAAATGCAAATCAATACGGAAATTACCTTTTATTTTGCATTCAAATGAGTTTCAATGTGGCTGCCGTTGTGGACCACATATTGCATTCTGTGCACAGTATGCACAACAGCAGAAAGTAACATGTCTGCAGGAATCTCCCTTACAGTCCGTGATATGTTATCCTTCAACGTAGCCAGGTCCTGGACCATTCCTTGATAGACCTTGGACTTAAGGTAACCCCATAGCCAAAAGTCGCATGGGGTAAGATCAGGAGACCGAGGTGGCCATGCAGTTGGAAGGTAGCAGATAATGACTCTTTCTGTTGTGAATTTCTGTCGTAGCATCTGTTGCACCCGTACAGCAACGTGTGAGGGGGGCTCCATCTTGCACGAAAATGATTTCCCCCAGGCATTGTCTTTGCTAAAGTGCCGGAATGACAAAGCTGTTCAACATGTGGCGATATTTCTCTCCGGTAACAGAACAGGTTTCCGGTCCTGTCGGGGTAATGTTCTCATAGAAGAATGGACCTACGATAAATTCCGCTGTAAACCCACACCAAACAGTTAGTTACCTTTGGTGAATGTAAGGGAATTGCTGTGACTGCATGTGGTGATTTGTCATCCCAAGTTCGGCAGTTCTGGGTATTCACAGTTCCATTCAGGTAAAAGTGGGCCTCGTCTCCCCA